ACAAAACATGTTGACCTTGTCTATTGTAATGTTTATATTACCAAACGACAATAAAGATTTATTATTATTATTATTATTAACGACGACGTAACAGCAAAGGACAAAGAAGCCGTATGATGCAATACCGATGTCTAGTTTAGTTGTTATCGGCTGTTTTGTTTTACGATTAGATTCGTCTGGAACAAACAGATATAAAGCAGAAATGAACTACCAGGGTGAACTCGTGGTTGTCTCCTGATACTAGAGGCGCTATGCGTAATAGTTTTGTTTTTTTACAGTACTGTTTTAAAGTATAAAAATCTAGCCTACTTCTGTGCTGTTTTTTTAAACAATAGATTTAATGTTTCCCGAAAAAAGTCAGAATAGAAACAATAGAAAGGCAACACAATAGAAGGGTGGGAGGGGTTGGGCAATGACCTCGAAAGGAGCTCGGGTAACGGGTAGCAACAGTGAGTCGAGTAGGCCGTGAGGGGGGAAGGGGTTGGTACGACCTTGGAGCTATATATAGACTTGCACTACTTCCCTAAATCTAAAGGACTGGCGAGTGGTATTCCAATCACAGGCAGAGGACAAGATGCGTTGTTTTTCGGGTATTCATTGCCCGGTTTCACTTTGGATTGTCTTATTGTGTAGAAAGTTTGAATAATCAACAATAAAATTAGAACTAACCACGTTTATTTAGCATTGATTGTGTATATTAAATGATTAAATGATAGGGACCAGGGGAAATATACAATCTTTTGTCATGATTTGAATTTCAACATCAAAATACAATATTGCACAATCATGATATTTTAGGTCATTGACCTTTATTATGCATCCGGTATTGCTGTTTCAGAAGAGAAGCACGTTGATAAATTATAAATTGATATTTTTGTGGTTAAAAAGAATTATTTTATAAACCTATAAAACAAAATCATAAAATCTTACATATAGGCCTAGATAATAACAATAACAGCAATTGTAAAAAGGGTATAAAGATAACAACGTCATTATACTTTCTCTTTGTTCTTCTATTTCTTGGGTTTCCCTTCATCACGCATTCAACAAGTTGCCTAGTTGCCATGGTTACTAATCACCCATGTCGTTATCAGCTTTTGTGACATAGCGCACAGCAGGGGGTAAAACTTGACGAAAATCGGTTAATTTTTACCTATTATTTAATTACCAATGTACTTTATTGGTACTGTATTAATAAATTTCATTTTAGAATTTAGCCTCCGGATTACGTTGAATATATTAAAATGGTGTAAATACTTGCTTCGTGGTAATCCTAATGTTGCTAGTGTCGCAACTAGTTTCGACTTTTTACAAAGTCATCTTCAGGCGAAGGCGTCAAGGATGTCAAATGGTGGTCACTTCATATGAAGGTCGTCATTACACATAAAGTACATAAAAACACGAACACGAACACGGACATTAACACGTAAAAACGGTACATTAACACGTAAAAACGGTACATTTAACACGATTAAACGAACAACGGTAACTGTAAAGGAATGATGTGACACGACCGGGATGGATGCAAGGTCTAGATTAATAAATTGGCCGATTTTTGTCAAATTTTACACCAAATTTATTGAAATTTCAAGGTGAATATCAATAAAACAATTATTACCAAATATTTTTATTCATTTAAAAGATCGATTTGTGGTATTGGGTTCCCCACTGAGTGCAGTCGAGTGGCACTAATGAGGGTTGAACCGCCTTGGGGGTGGACAATAGACGGCTTATCAGACCCGACCCTCCCCAGTGGTCTGGAGAAAGCTTGTAAAAAAACTATTGTTCAAGCGTGACTTGACATTGGGCTGCTTCAACTTTAATTTTTTCAAATGAACTGTGATGTTTCAAAATCAAAAACAATAATTTGGGACCATACTGCATAACAATAATGGACCGCAATAATTGTTGAATATACATTCCATTTTTGACAAACTAAGATTATACTATTCAAATACAATTTTTGAAAATTATCTTGGTATTTTACTTGGGGTAATGAAGTTATGTAGGCTAGTGTAATTCTCGGTTCATCAAGGTTCTACTGAATTATGTTTGGCAGTGAATAATTGTAGAATGAAATTTATAAATTCAGGGATACACACCTTTTACAGAGTTATAAAGCCTAATTGGCCTAATTAACTTGCCACAACATCAAATCTAGAGCCCAGCTTAGTGCATTAGTGATGTTTTCTAAACTTGGCAAACCCGCAGAATGCCACTTAAGGCCAATAATCCGTTCCAAAAACGTAAGAAAATACAATGTGAAAATAAACTTGAGATAGAACTCCTTGTCTTGTGAGAACCAGGAAACAACATAAAACATAACCTCAAGTAAACAAGCCCAAACGTTTGACATCAGTCCTGCTGAGCTAAAGTGTTGTGTGAAGATTTCGGCTGCTAGTGTACTTAATTCAAGCAACCAACTTTTGAAAATAGATGTTGTGAATTGTGATTTTCAAGAGAGAAAAAACTGTGGACGTGGCTAATTTGAAATTCTATGATTCAAAATTGTCATTTAAGTTTATTTACACAGCTTTACAGTGTTTTATAGTTAAAAATGCATATGCAGCTTATTATTAACCGCGCCGAACTATCCGAATCCGAACCTCCCAATATCCGATCCGAGCCTCAACTATCCGATCCGAAATGAAATTTCACTATCCGCACACCTCTACTAATCACCCATGTCGTTATCAGCTTTTGTGACATAGCGCACAGCAGGGGGGTAAAACTTGACGAAAATCGGTAAATTTTTACCTAATATTTAATTACCAAAGTACTTTATTGGTACTGTATTAATAATCGGTCAAATTGGCCGATTTTTGTCAAATTTTTCACCAAATTTATTGAAATTTCAAGGTGAATATCAATAAAACAATTATTACCAAATATTTTTATTCATTTAAAAGATTGATTTGTGGTATTGGGTTCCCCACTGAGTGCAGCCGAGCAGCACTAATGAGGGTTGAACGGCCTTGGGGGTGGACAATAGACGGCTTATCAGACCCGACCCTCCCCAGTGGTCTGGAGAAAGCTTGTAAAAAACTATTGTATTGCACAAGGTGACTTGACCTTGGGCTGTTTCTACTTTAATGTTGTCAAATGAACTGTGATCAGGGCTGGTACGGTCAGGGAAAACCTGGAAATGTCAGGGAATTTTGTTGGTCTGGAAAAGTCAGGGAATTTTGGAAAAAATCTGGAATTTCTCTTGAAAGACTACATTTTTTACAGATATGCTACATTTTGCATCTACGCCTCAATACTTGGTCAAAAAAATTGAAGTTTGACAAAAACATTGACGTAACAAAAACATCGGGAACCTACCATCGATATAAAAAAACATCGAACATCGACAGACATTCTATCATCACCCTCTGATTACTGGCTTTAATTGAACGCACCGAGCTCCCAGTGTTTCTACACGACCAAAAGAATATAATCCCGGTCACTGGGTTAAGAAATCCCGTTTAATCCTTTAAGATTTTTGATGTTAAATTCTGAGTGTTAAATTAGACATATTGTGTTTAAATAGTTGTTTTAACATTGCTATTATATTTTGTTAAGGTAATTATTTACAATTGGGGTTAGTTTTTCACTAAAATAAAGCATAGTAAATAAAAACGGACTTCATAGCCAAAACTCCTGTTTTATCCCACATCCCCTTCAAATCCCGCTCATGCTCAAAAAAAAAAAATTTATCCTGTTGAAACATTTAATAGTTTAGTTTGGTACTACTTTTTGTCTCCGGTACAAGCATGGTAGTTATTTTTCCAATATCACATGTTTCCGCGCCGAACTATCCGAATCCGAAAAACATCCGAATGCGAACCTCCCAATATTTATTTATTTATTTATTTATTTATTTATTGCTCTTTACAATTTTTACATTGTGTAGCATTTTTACATTGTGTGATTCTATTATTTATAATTACATAGGGGTTATTTTATAAAATTACACTTTATATTAAATTTAACTTTAAACAAATTAATCAATACATTAAGAAATGGAGGAAAACTAAAAAAAACATTATACATTTATCAAGAAAACCTTAAAATATTTAACTCATAACCCCTGGGGAATATAATACTGTGGCCCTTAACTCCAACGGTGTGCAGTGAACTCATCCACCGCCTGATTTATTAAGTCACGCTTCAGTTTCGTTTTGAATAGAAGGGAACTTTCCAGACTTTTAAGCCTTTCAGGAAGACAGTTGAGGAGTCTGACACCTACTTGAGAAGGAAGTTTCTCAAATGCAGCTGTTCGGTGTTGGACAGTGCGAAAACTTTCCCTTGCTCTAGTCCCGTGGCTGTGCACAGCAGTGCCTTGGATAGGCTTATGTTGAAACCGGCAGTATACAGCCGTTTCCAACATATACAGGGAAGGTAGGGTCAAAATTCCAAGCTCCCTGAATGCTTGTCTACACGACTCTCTCCGCCTCAGATTTGCAATTAATCTGATGGCTCTTTTTTATCCGATCCGAACCGAGCCTCAACTATCCGATCCGAATCCGATCCGAAATGAAATTTCACTATCCGCACACCTCTATAAAATAAATTGATAGAATAATTACACCTTAGCTTTTGATAAATTTATTATAAACCATACAATGTGATCTTCTTTTGAGTTATAAAAAAACCATCCCTTGTTCAAAGTTAATCTTATTTTTACCTTAAGTTTACCTTATCTAGATTTTAGTTGTTTTGTCTTAAACAAACGAATCCTGAAAAACTACAATGAGTGAAAATGGAGGATATACAAACAAAATTGACTCATTTACACACTACAAGTTTTTTATTGTCATTTAAATTTTCCAACTGTATCTGGGTTTGTGCACTTTATCTTATCTTGTTATGTTTGAGGCACTTTCTTGTCTGTGAATGTAATCAGATTCCAGATCCTGAAACATTATTAAGAAAACTTATTTTTACTAGTTGTGGAAAATAACATATTTATCTAACAGAGAATTCTTGGTACTTATTACTTTGAATATGTTGAGCAGAAAGAAGAGGAGAAGTTGAGAGCTTCATTGAAGAGAGAGAGCAAGCAGAAGAGAGCCAGAGAGAGAGGTGCCGGGCGTGGACTATCCACCAGCTACCTGGAGCCTGACCAGGACGGGTCTGAGGACGAGGGAGGCATCTCACTGTCAGCCATCAAGAGCAAGTACAAGAAGGGCGGCAAGTCTAGTGAGTCACCCACATTCAGAATAATGCCGACATATATAATTACCGCAATACTTTAAGAAGAAAGATTGGTCATCCCTATGTTGACAGAATATAAAGGCTACCTTGACATATATAGGCCTAGGGGATTCTTGTAAAAAATTTACATGCTTAAAAATTGTAAAGTTTGACATTTTTCTCGTCCTAGGGATGGACGGGATTGAATTTTTAGTTCAGGACGGGACGCGACGGGATTTTTATTTCCTTCCCGATTTTCGGGACGGGATTTTTTTCTGTGCATAAAAAGAAAGACCTGTTTTGCAGTTACCAAAAAACACATACGAAATCAATTTTTACCATTTGTGGCACTGATCTATAAAAACCAAAAAATGGGTTTACAGGTACCTATAGTAACTTGTGACTCGCGGGTCACGTCTGATCACGCGGGGTGATCGTCTGTATGACTCACAGTCACGGCGCGATCGTCGTCATGACTCGCGATCACGGCGCGATCGTCGGTATGACTCGCGGTCACGGCGCGATCGTAGGTAGGACTCCATGGTCACAGCGCGATCGTCGTCATGACTCGCGGTCACGGCGCGATCGTCGGTATGACTCCGCGGTAACGGCGCGAACGTCGGTAGGACTCCGCGGTCACGGCGCGATAGTAGTAGGGAAAAGCCGGTTCTGGATCAACCCCGACAGACCAGGGATTCTCATCTGTTTACTCTTCCACTCATCGAAAAGTTGTTTCTGCACCAACCTCCAGTAGACTAGAGATTTGCCCATTTTCAAGCTCGGTTGGTAGTAGTATATATATGTGCGTCCTACTCCCGGAGTTTATATGGGCTCTTATGGGAATACCTCCCCACACCCTGGCTGTCGTTAGCGAAGAGGCTAGTCCTCTTCATGCCCTTGGTTGCTTCTTCCAGTATTATAAGAGGACGTGTATCGAAAAAGCACTGCTGCTTCTCATCCCTTTTTTGTGTATGCCCAGACTCTATATAGGACAACACTCGCCCGTGAAAATGGATGATGTGTATTTGGAAGCATGCCAGTCCATGGACAGCAATACTTCGTTTTCCAACGCCTCTTCAGAAAACGCAGTTTTCACTGCGACCCCAGAAAGCGTGGTTTTCACCGCGACACCTGAAAGCGTGGTTTTCACCGCGACCCCAGAAAGCATGGTTATCACCGTGTCACCTCTGCCTGTCGATTCGGATGACGACGTGAGATCGTTTGAGCTCACCGACGAGGAAGCCGGTTCCGACGTTTCTCCGATAGTCGGTTCTAGCTTACCCGTTGACACTAAGGTGCAGTGTCCAATCTGCGGTGTACGTGTATCGAAGCCCTACTTAGGAAGACACAAGAAAACCAAGAAATGCTCTAACACCGCAAGCGCACAAGAGACAAGAGCTGATATGGTGGTTGTTCAAGCTACTCCTCAAGAGAAGAGTTCACGTTACAGTGTGAAGGTAGCTTGTGACCGATGTGGAGATAGTGTGTCTGTTGCGAATCTTAAACGACATCAAAAGTCAAAGAAATGTCTAGCTGCAACACAAGCTAGTGAGCCGGCTTTGGTACCTGACGTTGCCACGGAACCCCGACGTCTGTCTAAGATTGAGTGTGATACTTGTGGTAAGCTTGTTACAACTTCGAACTTGGCCCGACATCAGAAATCAAAACGATGCCGTCCACCTGTGGATGTTCGCGAAAGCACTGCCCCAAAAATGAAGGCATGTTTGCTATGTGGAGTATCTATGCTACCGGTTCAATGGAAGCATCATAAACTGTCGGATCGTCATATTAGCATGCTGAGACAAACTCAAAATATGGCAGGTGTGAGTTCCAGAAATGTTGTATCGATTGCTCCACCTATAAACAATCAACATGCTGTACCTTCCACGAGTGGTGAACCCGTGAAACAATATGTGTATCCTCGAGCTGGTTCAACCGGTGTGGAGGTGTGTAGGATTTGTATCAAACCTGTAAAAGTGTCAGAATGGTCTCAGCATTCCAAACACCATCTTCGTCCTGAAAAGCCTCAAAAGTCTAGTTTGGATATTAGGCGATTGGTCAAAAGATATCCGAAGGTTAAAAGGAGTGTTAATGTTCCACACCCAAGTATGGACAATGTTGATCTGAATGCTATGGTGAGAAAACCTACTAGACCTCAAAGACCTGATAAATTCCTTCGTACGACCCTTCAGAGCCCACTCCCATCAACATCAGCTGATGTTCCAAATGTTGTGGAGGAAATTACACATCAAAATCTCATTGATGCATTGGATGACATTCTAAAATACACTGATTTTGTGACAGACGAACAGTTTGCAGAAGCTATTGAGGATTTTGATTTTGGAATGATTGATGAACCACACTCTGTTTTGAAGAAACCCCGTAGACCTTCTCTTAAGCTCATTATTCCTTCTCCTTCAGAGCTGAATATACCAAACAGTCCTGTTTATCGATCTCCACTCCATATTCCTGACAGCCCATCCTATAATCCACTATCACCATTTACCTTTGGGAGTAATCCTCCTGGACTAACCCTTGGGGAAACGTCTGAAAGTTCGATTGATTTGGTTGCTCCCCCACCATCTCCAATTAGCCCACTACCACCAACACCGGAAGTTGGTGTAGAGCATGATACTAATGGTGAGGCTGATCAGACACAAGAAGATAACAACGCAGGTGATGATGACAGCGGGTCATTGGAGGTAAGACAAATTGAGACAGCATTCAAGTCAAGACTCAGAACTTTTGTTATCGACAACAAGACTAATGTCAAGGATCCAACATTGTTTTTGAACATGTGCACGAATTTGGTTGAAGAAAAAATTGAAGAAATGGTCGTGGAAAGCAATATAAAAGTCAACTTTGTCTTTCATGCTGAATTTCAGAGAGTAGCTCAAGACAAGAAAATAAAACAACTAATGAATTTCAAGACTACTAATAAAATTGTGTATCCAACAACGGACATCTCTGAATATTACAATGATGCAAAGGCAAAGATACTTGCAGAGATTGAAGACTTCCAAGCAACTGGCTCTAATTGGACTTTGATGAAGGTCATTGATTTGGAAATCAGAGTAAATAAATACACACCTCTTAAGGGTTCTAGTTACATGAAACTTCCACCGAAGATAGAATCCAAGAAAGCAGTGATAAACATAAATAATAATGACCAGAAATGTTTCCTGTGGTCTATCCTTGCAGCTTTACACCCTGCGAAGGATAATGTTAATAGAGTGAGTATGTATAGAGCTTATGAACATGAACTTGATGATGTTTTCAAAGACATTGAGTTTCCCATGAAATTAGATGACATTACAAAGTTCGAAAAACGTGCCAATATCTCTGTCAATGTTTACACTCTCCACGGAATCGAAAATTCAGTTGTTCCTCTCAGAATCACTAACGAGGAGATGGAAAGACATGTAGACCTGCTCTACTTGAAGTCTGCAGACACAAACCATTATTGTTACATAAAGAATCTATCTAGACTTGTACAATCACAGATATCAAAACATGATCATATGTTATGGTTGTGTAAACGTTGTCTGTTACACTTTGGATCAAAAGAAGGTTTGGACAGACATAGAGAGGATTGCAGCAGACATGAAAGTATAAAAATAAATCTTCCAGAAGAAGGGACGGTCATCAAATTTAATAATTAAATAACTTACGTCATCAATCCATAAATTTCTGTGGAGTACGCGTTTCAACCATCAGGTCATCCTCAGCTCCACTGTCACTAGGTTGAATCTGTTTCTATGTTGCATTGATCTTGTAGCAACAACGTCGATATATTAAATAAATAGGACAAACACATTTTACGTTCATTACACATACACGACACGTACGAAACATTTAAAAGACGATAAAACTACGATTATAACACCGTGCGCACGGCTGGACGGGCTTAGGTATGCGGCTACACTGACTTGGTCGGTGTCCTACACTGAACTTTGGACCATGACGTCATCTTCAGCTGGTTATCATTCTTTCATTGTCCATTAGCCTAATAATAGTGTCGTACACGGGATTCGAGTCAGAATGGATTTTTTCATTTAATATGTTTTGATTTTGTTTAAAACCCTTGTATATATTCAATTCTTCTAATCTGTCTAGCCGCTGTCCCTTTTTCTCCTTTACTATAATTTCTAAATTATTGTTTATATTTGTGTATTTATGCCCCTCTATATTTAAGTGTTCCGCATATTTTGATTTTGTACTCAGTTTTGCTCCTGTTCCTGTTCCATTATATATTACTTCTTTGACGTGTTCTTTAAATCTTAGATCAAAAGTTCTGCCCGTTTGCCCGATATAAAATGCGTCACAGTTATTGCAATTAAGCCTGTATACTCCTGAGTTCTTGTATTTATTCTCTCCAATGGATTTATTTGTATTTCCTAATAATCTCTGTATATTGTTATCTGATTTAAAAGATACGGTGACATTTTGTTTTTTAAATGTTTTACAGATAATATGCTCTGTTTTCTTTGAGTATCTAACAGACACATATTTTTTGTTTATATCTAATTGGGATGGGTTTGAAGATGTTTGTTTAGCCATATGTCTATTGTAAAGTTTGTCAATTATAGACGGGTCATAACCATTCTGCTGAGCTATATATTTTATTGTGTTCAATTCATTATTTCTGTCAGGGGTGCTCATCGGTATGTTAATTAATCTGTGCAACATAGAGTTAAAAGCTGAAAGTTTGTGTGCAGTTGGATGATAAGATGTTTCATGGATTATCTGATCTGATTGGGTGGGTTTCCTGTATATTCTGAAGTGGTGTTTATTATCGACATTAGATATGGATAAGTCTAAATAGTTAATACTGCCATTGGATTCAGTTTCAGATGAGAAGGTTATATTGTTATGTAAGGAATTTAAGTAGTTTTGAAAGATAGCCGTTTGTCTTTTATTGCCTCTGTACAAGCACAACACATCATCAACATATCTCCACCAATAGATTATTTTATTGTCATACTGGTTCCCGTTCAATATTTTTT